ACTTGGTCACCCAGGGAAGATGCTCTAAATAAGCATTGACTGTAATGGCTGAATAACACAGTAACCTGAATCTATTCAGAGAATAGCATGGAAACTATTGTCTTCCCACATTTCTGCCCTTCCATCTTTATTCTGGGACTTACAGGATTCACAGTTGACAGGATGGTCTGCAATTACCCTGTAAAGAACCTGAGTCTCTGCCACATTTTATGTACTGTTGCCATTCACTGAATAGCTGGTAGTTAACTTAATTTTTAAAATCTATTTTATGGCAACACATATGGCTATGTTCTTATTTGTGGTTTCTATGTACCAGCTATTGCAGATATTGGTAGTTGAGAGAGACGCTCTGGAGGAGAGCATACAAGCTCTAGGTAGCACAAGTGGAGAAGTGGCATCCAGGGAAATTGAGGGATTTCCCCAAGGAAACATTCTAAGTTTGTGGCAGTGTTAATATACCTGATCTGATTATCTAAGTCATGTGGGCACAAATGCATGTTCTGGTACATGTATCAGCCACAGAAATGCTAAACTGGAGAAGTTAATTTGGAAAAATGAAAGGAGGTGGGGGGAAAAAAGAAAGTAAAAATCATGCTTGGCACTACTTGAAGACTTGCAAGAAATTTCCATTTTCCCATTCTTAGAATACTTTGGAAATACATAAGGTCTTGGGATCTGTATTTTAAAATGTTGCTTCAAACTGGAATAGTATCTGTTAAATGCAGCCAAGAAACATCTGTTTTTCCGTTCCTGGAACCCGGAGCTGAGGCAGCCGTTTTCCTGTCAGCTCTGCTGTGGAGCGAAATTGGTTCAATAGGTCATTCTGTTCTCTCCATTTCGTAGTTCTCAGTTTCCTGTTAAAAAGATGGCAAACAACACAAGTAAGCAGGAAGGGAAAGGAGATTCTGTGTAATGTGTGTATTAGCCTGTGAAAAAAAAAATCCATTTAGCTTCAAACTGAGTGAGGTAACTGGTGAGAGCAGAGCTATTAAGCATTAGAAAGAACACAAGGGATTGTATGGAACTGTAAGATTTATTAGCCCCCAAATGTCCCCAAGATTTTTTAGCCCCCAAATGGTTTATCTTTAATCAGTGGAAATAACAATCTGATACAAATCCCACTGAAGACAATGGGAATGTCACATTGATGGCCACCAGGCTCTGGATTTGACCCTCTTTGGTAGATGGCCTGGTAGAAACTGGTCACCAGTACACAATATATTAATTGCAAGACTTGTAAATTATGACCTGAGCAGCTCCAGATTGGATTCAGTAACTGAGGGCCAGCAGTGGTTGTATTTATCGTCTTTTCAACCACCTCTCACTCAGGTGGAGTCTATCTGAGGACAGCTGGGAGGGAGAACCAGAGGAAGAATTCAAAGGTCTCATGCAGAGAAGACCATAAGCATATTGGGTAGGTTTCAGTTTCAGTTTTTGCATTCCCAGCCCTCCATGCTTTGACAAAGCTTTGGACAAACAAATACATTCTTGAGAACTGCAAAATTTTTTTCCTTTCATCTTATGAGAACAGAATGAAGACTCATAAAGGCATTTAGCTGCTTATGCTCCCCCTGAAATCATCAGGCATTAAAAGCATAAATAACATTGAGAGCATGCCCCATGATCTGATATTTAATAAGCAATGAAAATCTGTATTATTCAGTCAGCGGCATTAAAAATAGGAAACCAGTACACTGAGGTGGCAGAACCCTCTGCATGTTTCTTTACTGAAGAATGGCAGCACCCCTGTTTCAAAAACTGCTGGAAAAAGACATGCTGTGACCTTCTGTCATGAACATTTTGGTGACATAAAAAAAAGCCAATGGGCAGTTGAGTCCTATTTCTTATGCAGATATAATTTGCCATCGGTCACATGACTTAAAAAGCAAAACTAATCTGGAGGAAGCATTTCTTCATTTTTTTTCCTTTGATGTGACCTTTCCACTCCATGAATTTAAAATAGCAAGGAAGTGAGTCCTAATCTGAGAAAGAGTTTCCAAAAGAGAATTGGAGAGGCAGCACTTTCTGTGGCAGGGCCTTGCGAAGTGCTGATGGTATAAATTAACTAATGGGGGTCAGGAAATTTGCAAAAAGCAGATAGGATGCGGGAAGGGAAGAGGGAGTTGTACAGTTCACAGACAGTTGCAAGCAGTTTCCTGACACTATTTACTTGGTAAAACATTTTGTTTCCTCCAGAGAAGTGTTTGACTTTGCTTTTATCATCACCAGCGTAAGTCAAATGTCATTATTCATGTAATCTCTGGCTTACATAGCCCAACATTCCCAGTCTGATACTGAAGTGACCATTCCCTGGCTAGTCTGTAATTATCTAAATCCATGTGGTGATAAGGTCCATCCATGCCTCAAATATACTACAGTCAAATCCATGCTTTCATAAAGTAAGATCTGCTCTGACTGCCAGAAGAGACTGTGCCATCATGAATGGCAAAAAAAGTCAGTAATTACATATGTATATGGAAAATACAGTTGTCAATGGATAGTTGGAAAAGGAATGATGCAGTTTACTCTCTGATCCTTGGATTCGTAGCCTATTTTCCTCAATGCCATCTTCATCTGCTTTCTTCAGTCTCATCTGACTTTTGTATTTGCCATATATGCACTTCGTTGTGCCAGGGGAGGTTCAGGTTGAATATTTAAAAAAAATGTCTTCACTGAAAGAGTGGTTATGTTGGAATGGGCTGCCCAGGAAAGTGTTGGAGTCACCATCCCTGGAAGTGTTCAGAAAACAAGTAGACATAGCAGTAAACAATACAGATCAGTGGGCACGGTGGTTCTGGTTTGAAGGCTGGACTTGATGATCTTGGAGGTCTTTTCTAACCTTGATGACTGTGATTTGTCTAAACACAGTTACATTTGTTATGGGTTTGGCACACCAGTATTTGCAATTGCCTTGATTTACAGGATTACACTCAAAGGACCAGCACCTATTACAGAAAGGCCCTGCATGCTGTGAACACAAACGTGCTTCTGCACTGCTTAAATTGCACTTTAATCCTGCTGTTTCCTCCTAGATTGTCCACTACCTGGAGCTTTACATAGGAACGAGGGACATCTAGTGGCTTAATAGAACATAGCTAAGGAAAATGTTCTCTGCCCAAGGTACGTTGTTGTCCAGAGTTCAGTGAAGATTAAACTAAATTAAAGACTTTCTCAGTGGTTGAAATGTAATTTAAATATATGTAATTGCTTTAGATAAGAGTCAAATAATCCACAATGAATTCTACTTTTGTATTTCTGTCTTCTTGTGAAAAGGTGAGATGACTTTGAAACTTGCACAAGTTAATATGTATTTGGTACCTAATTTTGGGGGGACAGAACATCCTCTTTCATTAGGAGAAGCTGGAGTACAGGACAGATGGATAAAAACCAGAAGCAAATCACACCACACATCCCTATACATTTTTCTCCCCCAAATGAACACATTTATTTTATGCATGGCAATTCAGGATATGATTAATTAGACTAGATGATACATGGTAGATTACAATGAGAAGGAATAACTGTGAAGAGCAGTTAAATGGAGCCTTTTCTTTCTCTGCAATGTGTTTCCTATTTTAATACTTAAATAATGAGTTTCTTTAACAAGTAACCCACTCTGAGTCATGTTTTCCTCTCTCCCCTTTGTTCTTATCCTAACCAATAACTGCTTGTCATCGTAATAGCTTTTATTACAAAAGATGAGACGCACATAAGAGAAACAAAAATATCTGCACTGAATTATATGCTGGCTTTGTGTGAGCCTTTGTTTGTATCAGGTTTGCCATTCTGTCTTTTTCTGGTACATACTGAAAGTCTGAATGGACTAAGTCTGTTATGCTGCTCAGACCAGGGACAGTGCTTGGCCTCTCAACATGCAATAACTAAAGTTGAGAGACCAACATCAGGCAATCAAGAGTTCTTATCTCTCAATATCTCTCATTCCTGTCCTAACTCCACAAAACAACAAATTCAAGAGCTGGAGTATTTTGGCTGGGGCATATGACTAAAGAAGGCATACATATAAAGAGGGAGGCTTCTCTGCAAATGAGAGAAAGCCATTGCCAAATATTAAGACAGATAATCTGGAGAGAGCAACAGGAGGCATTCTGTCTCACCTGAGATGCTGACAAAACCTGGAAGCTACAGGAGTGAGATTAGACTGAGAAAAGACGATTCACTTGTTATTTTGCAAAGACGTGCATCTCGGGAGGGTTTTTTTAAGAATAAGAAGTGATGATAAAGAAAATGCTTGTCTAGCTGAGTGGATTTTGTCTTGCCTTTCCTTTCTGAATAGGCTAAACTAGAAGCTTGTAGGCCTTGCTGAAGCTAAGGAAATCGTGAATAAGCCAGCACAGGACTCTCCCAGTCTGACACCCCACTTCAAGCTCCATATGGAGACCCTATGCCAGGGTTCAGAAAGGGATTCTTGACCTGTGTGTGTGCCATTAAAATGAGATAGAAAGAGTTATTTAAACACTACTCAGGTTGCATCAGGAGCTTGGAACACAGAGACTGGGTCCAGTGGTTTGGGCTGATGTTGCGGGGGGTTGAATTTACAGAGGTTGATGAAACAAGGTACACTGGAAGCAGGAACTTTATTAATGTGCTATGATTAATGAGTAGTGAACTCAGTGAGTATTTCATAGCCCCTGGATCATTAAGATTAATTAAAATACTTCTTGATAGAGAAGTATTAGCAGCCTTTATTTATGTGACAGAGTTTAAAGGTTTTGAACTCCTGAAGTTTTAGGTGCACTAGCAGGCACAAAGTTATGCTGTTGTGATCCTGTTTAGATTGTTCATTGTAGAGAGAAGTTGCCACGATGAGAGCTTCCAAAGGATGTTTCTGTTTGGACCTCTTCTGAAGGCTACATTTAGGATGTGAATATAGATATACCAAAAGCCTGTTGCTGGCAACATTCAAACTGGATTTACCAGTATGAGGAAAAAATGAGCTGAAGTTGGCTTAGCTGGCAAATAATCAAGTCTCTCTATTTCAGAAACTTCTGGGAAGGAATGGCAAAGCCAAAGTACAGCTGGCCATATGAACTACCCTGATGCAAGTGTGGTCAATGACCAGAACGAAGAAAAAGAAGCAGACTGGCTTTTTAACAAATATTTATTAAATATAGAAGGTAATGACTTCTTGCTTCTCTACTTACCTTTGCCACTGTGAGGTTCTGGTTACCACATTACCATTTTACTGATTAATAGGGCAGTACAAAATAAACCTGAAGTTACATGAAGTTTAGACTGAATAATTTCTCTTGTGAAAAGATCTAGGAAAAATTAACAATCCTGTTACACTCGAGATAAAGCGACAAGAGTGTGTTGGGGAAAGGTTGCCTTGCTCAGACTGTGAGCAGAAAGGGTAAATGGGAGAGCTGTGACTGAGCACCTGACATCCTTCAAGTGTAAGGTCTGTTACAATGCTGGAAATCAGCCTAGGACTCCTCTGCTCTTACTTCTGTTGATGCTGGAGTGCCAACAGCAAAAAAGCTGTGACTACTCAACTCAGGCTTCCACTCCTGCTGCCCTGGTGCTTTTCCCGTGGCCCTAAGCAGGGATGGGTACATATTTACTAGCTAGTACAGGCAGATACAAATTTCCATTGACTAATCTTCCTCTGGCAGGGTGAGTCATCACAGAGAAAAGGTTGTTTCTGCTTGTTCTTTGTTCAGATTATAATCCAGTCAGAGCTCCAAAAAAGGCCAACACCTATGACCATCTCTTGGAAACTTGGAGAGATTTCTGTAGATTCAAGCTTTCTGAAGGGAAAGATCTTCCTTGGAAATTACTTTGAAAGAAGCTGGCGAAGTTCCTGGTAAGAACTCAGCCTTTTCTGTCCGTGTTTCTCCATCTGTCAAAACAAGGCATAATTTTTCCCTGCTTCACAACGATATTGTGAGGAATCATCAGTTAACATGTTTACATCCCTAAAAATGATTTCCTATTCTAAATCACCTAGACTTCAGTCCTTAGGGACACAAACTGATCTCACCGTTCTTACAGATCTTTTCCCTCTTTTCACACATCTATATTCCTCTTTGCATTCTGCTGCTGCAAAACACAATTGCTGCCAGCATTGCTCCTGTACACCTGACAGCAGTTTTAACAATCACACTGTATTTTCCTGAGCAATTAAATAATCAGCAAAGGAAAATAATTCTTCTTCAATTTCTGTTCTTCCTTTTTATCAGTGTTGGCAAACGTTTTCCACCTCGTATTGCACACTACTAAAATTTCTCATCACTGCACCAACTCCATGGTATTGTCATGAAGAACAATTTTTGCATATATTTATAAAGCATATTTTAGTCCAGTGATCTTTAAGAGAGCTAATTGTGATCGAAACTGGACTTATCTATGAACAAACCCCTGTATAAATGTTACGTGTTGCCTATGTTTGCATGCTGCAGGACATGTAGGTCTTTCTACCAAAAAGCAACTTTCTCTGGAGCAGAACAGCAGCAGACCAAAATATCAGCACTGTCTTAAATGTGAAGTGTACTATTCATCTGAAATTCCACAGGGAGCCTAAGAGAGCAAAATGATCTGGAAGCTCCTGTAATTGACTTCAAGCTAGAACTGGCAAGATATTTTTAACTATGACACAGTCTTGATTCATTTAGGGTTGTAAGAGGTGCCCAAATCTGGAGGTAGTTATGGTCCTGCTGCCTTCTCATCATCGAAGTTATCCTCCCACACACAACCTTGCCTGACCTGCCATGATCCCTTTTACTCCTGCTCACCACTGTCTCTCCTACTATAAAACTAGAATCTTGGTTTTACCTCACTTCCCCATATTATAAATCCCTTCCACCTCTTCCCCAAGCTCCAAACTACTTCCCTATCCAGGTTACCAGATGCTGAGAAACAGAAACATAAATGTAAACTGTATCTCGGTTTTTTAGAAGGACTTCCCAAATTCTACAAAAGTGAAGGTATTAGTGATCTTAAGTCACATTCCTCAACCTCACAAAGAATTTCTGTTTGCCCAGTTTGAGATGTCACTGCCCCTTACTGCACAGAAAAATGTAAGATCCTTGATCCTAAAGCGCAAGTAGGTAAAAATCCCTAGAATTTTTATGAAGAAAATGCTTTTGCGCTCCAGTTTATTTTACTACTACAGCTGGTTTACTTGGGAGATGCATCACCACCAGATTGATAATATCAGCATTGATAATATCAGCATCTGTTTAATAAATATTATATTATAAAGTATTGTTTGTCCACTATCTTCTTAAATAGAACAAGTTCCTGAAATTGAAAGTCCACTAACAAAGGGCACAAACAGAACAAGGAATCTGGCAGCAGAATATTTCTTTTTAAACAATAGAGTTGCAAGAGCAACACCCTGTTATGCAGCTCAGTAGAAGGGTACTGGCAAATACTGAATCATATAATGCTCAGTCACTAAACTGATTTAATATGATAAAGTTCCCCCAAATCCAAGCCATTAAACTAAAAGCCAATACAGGAGCTTGAAAATGATGATAAACAATAATATATCACTCATGGGTGGCCTTAATGCTAAATCTGGGATAAATTACATGAAAAATAATCCCAGGAAATTTTTAACACAAAAAAAGAAATGACAATGACTGCTGTAACAGAGAATGCAGCAATTCCTAACACAACATAAAAATGTAGTATGCTTGAAGGCTGGGCTAAATTTTCCTCTGAGTGTGTTTTATGGGATTATAACAGAAACAAAATTATCCTGACAACTTGAAAGAAAAAATGAGTGGCTTATTAGACCAATTGATAAAGCTGGAAAGAACAGACAAGCTTCCAGGCATGCAGGTGCTTCTTCGGATCCGAAATAAAAACAGCAAACTTCAAAGCTAAATCCAGGTTAAGAACAATTGTGCTGAGGTAGGACATCTGCTTTGCTTCAAATGTTTATTAATTTCTTTTTTAAAGGCTGTAAACAATGTCTTGGGAAATAAATTTATAATAATATAGCCCTGTAAATGGATTATATTTCTAAAGCAGGCTTGCAATTAGAAAAGGATCTAAGGAGTAAAACTTACCCCCGCAAATCTGCACAAAATCACATGGAGTTTCCATGAGATTTAAAAACCTGTTTGCTTACATTGCTTTAGAAAATATTAATTGGTTTCTTAAATCACTTAGGTGCTTTACTTTCACTGAAAAAGGCAATAAACAAGTCAGGATACTGACAAGGAGTGGATACATGTGGGTCCCTGGTGCTTACACAAACCCAGCTGTGCCGGGGACAGGCACATTTGCCTGAACAGACCTGGTAACAAGCTCAGAGCTTGAGATCTGACACAAGCACAGACAACACCAGGCAACACTAAGCAACACTCTGAGGTGACTCAGCTATAATAGGTATCTTAGGCCAGTCGTAGTAATGATGTAAATATAGTTTTCTAAGTTTGTAATTTGTATTTATTGAAACTTTTCACTGGAATGGGTGGGGAAGATGAATCAGAAAAGTAATTTTCTATTATTGGCCATTCAGCAATTTTTAAGCTGTTACTTTTCCAGTCATCTACAACAGTTTCCTTGTTTTTAGAATGAGTGCATGATATCATATCCTGAGCCCTTCCCTTTTCTTGTAGCTTTCTGAGGCACTAGGAGTCCAGCTATAGTCATCATGTGAATTGGTCTGTAATACTGTAGTGGAGCTACCTCTGCCACCATCTGCCTGCCTGCCTAATTCATACTCCTTAAGGAATTGCTGCTCTAGGACGAAAGGCCCTTCAAGCACAGTGAGTATCAGCTGAGAGAGCAAACAATTTTTCTGGCTTGTAAAGTTGCATTGGAGAACGATCACTTCTCTATGTATTGACATGTATGTGCAGTTTGGGACACAAATAAAAGTGAAAGGAGAACTCGCTGTCATTATTAATCACTGAAGTGAGAAGGGAGTTCCCTGTCCCGGCTGGGGTGAGAAAAGGAACAGCAGCAACATGGGAGGCTCTCAGGGTGCAGAGACTGGATTAAAGGTGTGGGTTTAGCGTAGGAAAGGGCCAAGGTACATGTGCTGTGCCAGGCAACATACCCGTTTGTTGTGGACAGACAGACAGGAAAAAAACAGCTGCTAAAATGTAGACATGAACAGCTGTGAGTGACCACATGGCATTGTATTAATGCTGGATGACAAGTTTATTCTTTATCTGGTTTGATTTAAGGAATGCAGTTGTACGAGCTAGTAATAAGCAAAATAATAGGAGAATAAAAGAGGTAGTTTTCCTCACTAATCTCCACTCATCCCTAAAGCATACAGGCCAAGTAAACATTGACAGTGAGTCATTGACTCTTTTTAGTATAACTACATAACCTGTGGTGGCGGTGGTGTTATTTCTGCACTTTTCCATCTTGTTCTTTAGCTCTGAAATGCAGAGCTAAAGGCTCTGCCATTCTTGGTGGAGGGCCTAAGGTTTTGTCTAGATATCTCTGAAATGCTAATTTAGTAGTAACTTGTTAACTATAAATATATAACTATACAGTTATATTTATAACGTTGTATGATCCAGAATTCACAGCATAACAAATGTTATAATGAAAGTAAATAAATGACTTGCATTTATATCCACCAGTTGATATAGCAGAAATTATTTATATATAGAACACCTGAATTTTATTGTGCATGTTGTCCTGGCAGAATACCAAACACCAACTTCATTCCAAAGTTGTAAAAGTCTTATGACCATGCTTTACATAAAAGCCTCAAACTAGTTTGAATGGAACAACAGAAAGCAGCAGTGATATTTTTATGAATACTTAAGATAAAAATAACTCGCTTCAAAAAAGTGCAAATAAATTTTGTCCTTGCTCCCCAAAAAAGTCTTTGTTGAGGAGAGCAACTGTACAGGAAATACATAACCTTTGGTTATCTCATTGATCACACAACTATCTATTTTTATTTTGTTCTCTATGGTTTTGATCAGCTCCTTCATAGGGTCACAGCACAGTGTTAGTAGAACACATTGCTTTTTGTTGTCTGTTAAACTGCATTGTGAGGTAAAAACTCCTCTTCAGTTAAAAGTTGCTGGACCCTCTTCTGTTGCTGATGCAGTTAATTTTATGACAACAAACCTGACGTTTTCTGCAACACAGTTATAATAAGAGTAGAAGGATGCTCAAGACATGCTGTGTGCTGTTTGGCCTGGCCTCAGTAGCATCGGGGATTGCTGTACTAGAGGTGATCATTTGTTCTCTTCCTCCGGGGTTCTGCCTCTGCCAGTGACCTGTACCAGGTGCTTCTGATACAGCTGCAAGTAAGTCCAGAGACACCAGCTGTCAAATAGGCTTCACAGGAGATGTTTTTACATGCCTATCAGTTAGTAGTTGGCTTTTACTGTACAACACAAGGGATTTGTAACTCTTTTCACTTAATAGAATATCACAGCAGATATTCCCATTTCCATGGAAATGTTTGTTTCTTGAATTCACTGGCTCCAACCAAATCTTGGTTCCAAATGTTGTGTGGCCATGAGTAAAAACTGTGGGATTAAAAAAAAAATTATATTTCCCTTTCTCTGTGTTTAAATTGTTGTCTTTCACTTCCATTAGATGTAAATTTGCTTACCTCACAGAAAAAACTCAACTTATTCTTTCAATTCTGTGCTCTACTGAAGAGTGATGATGTATTTTTATTCTTACTTATAGTTTGGTCTGTCTAGTTTGTAGCTATGTTTTTTTTCAATTTATAAACTCATTTCAAGGGCTTCACTCACAG